CAGCAAGTTCTATGGAACAGACTGTTCCAGGGAATCTATTGCTGGGAGCGCGTGGGCAGAGTGGATTTTATATTTGGGGCCTGACTTCCAATAAGTGGACATAACCATTAATTAGCTCTTGGGATTGAGTGGGATTCTCAAGGGAGCCAGGCATTTCTCCTTTGGGAAGTCACCTCAGGGCCTTTGCACTTACTGCCTGGAATTCCCTTCCCCCAGAAACCCGCATGGATCAGTCCTTCATTCAGGTCTGTATTCAAATGTCACTTCAACAGAGAGCAACGTCTGACTGCCCTTACCAGAATACTATGGGCACCCTTCCTTCATTTTATTTTTTTTAGCACTTTTCACACCCGACTGACATATTATCCATTCATTGATTGATCTTGTAGTCTCCATCCTACCCAGTAGATTGGAACTCTACAGGGGCAGAGACCTGTCTCATTCTGAATGAAGGAACGACTGCACAAATTGCCCAGGGCCCTCTGTGAGCTGGGCTCAGATCACGGGAGACTCTGAGGGGTGGCAGAGTGAGGGGGCAACAGCCACCAAAGGCTCAGCCCTGAGCTCCGTCCTCACCCTCCTCTGTCCCTTAGGATTCGACTGGAGCCTGCACTTCAAGTGGGAGCAGATTCCTCTGGAGCAGAAGATTGCCCGGACAGACCCCACCAAGCCCATAAGGTCAGGGCTACTGTGAGCTCCGGAGAGAGCCTTCTTCCCCTGGGGCAGGGGCCTGGGAGGCTGCTGGGAAGCCGCATCAGTCACCGGGGCTTCTGAGAATGTACAGTCTAAGTGCTGACTCTGTTCTGGGCCCCAGGGACAGAGAGGACAGAGGCCCCAGGGACTCTGCACGCAGGGGATTCTGGGGCCAATGGCCTGGGGTCCTGGGACCCTGGGGCCATGTGGAGGGGCTTCCAGCTTCTTAAGGTCATGTGTTACCTCTCTCATCTCCTTGCTCCCAGGACGCCCGTCATAGCTGGAGGAATCTTTGTGATTGACAAGTCCTGGTTTAACCACTTGGGAAAGTATGATGCCCAGATGGATATCTGGGGGGGAGAGAACTTCGGTAAGTTGGGAAATGTTAACGGCAATATTAATAACGGGTAACTCTGAGCACTTTCTATTCGTAAGGCCCTGTTCTAAGGACTTAATCCTCACAAGGACCCTCTGAGGTAAAGTACTATTATCCCCATTTTACTGATCAAAAAACTGTGGCACAGAGAGGTTAAGTAGTTTGTCCAGAACCACACAGCTCATAAACAAAGAGAATTAGGTCATTAGGAGGAGCCTGTAGCCACATGGCTAGATATGTGTGTGGAAGAACATACAGGCTGCATCATGGACCACAGCTTGAACACCTGTTGCTTCCCTGCCAGAAAGTCTGGGAGTGTGTTCAGTAGAGGGCACTGGTTAAGGTAAGTTGGGAAATGTTAACGGCAATATTAATAACTGGTAACTCTGAGCACTTTCTATTCGTAATCTAAGGACTTAATCCTCACAAGGACCCTATGAGGTAAAGTACTATTATCCCCATTTTACTGATTAAAAAACTGTGGCACAGCGAGGTTAAGTAGTTTGTCCAGAACCACACAGCTCATAAACAAAGAGAATTAGGTCATTAGGAGGAGCCTGTAGCCACATGGCTAGATATGTGTGTGGAAGAACATACAGGCTGCATCATGGACCACAGCTTGAACACCTGTTGTTTCCCTGCCAGAAAGTCTGGGAGTGTGTTCAGTAGAGGGCACTGGTTAAATGTAAGCCTGGGTGCAAATCCTGGCCATCTGATCCCACCACTTACATTTAACCAGTACCTTTGGTTACTGGTTACTGGGTTACTGGGTGAAAATCCTATCACTTACAAGCTTTCATCCCTGGGCAAGTTAAAGCCTCCCTAAGCCTCAGTTTACTCAAGGGGCTGTTATGAGTACTAAGTTTGACGATGAGTTAAAATGCATGGCACCTCGGCAAGTGTGGCTCAATTGGTTGAGTGTCGTCCCATGCACTGAGAGGTCGCTGGTTCCATTCCTGGTCAGGGCAGATGCCTGGATTTCAGGCTCAATCCCAAGGAGGGAGCATGCAGGAGGCAGCCGATTGATGTTTCTCTCTCATCTATGTTTCTCTCTCTCTCTCTCTCTCTCTCTCTCTCTCTCTCTCTCTCAAATCAATACAAATATTTAAAATAAATAAAATGCATGTCACAGTGCTGATAGCCATTATCACTACTTCTGAGGCTGTAGGAACTCTCTAACCCCAGAAGGAAAGGGAAGAACCAGGGAATTCCCAGGTTGCTGGTGAGGTTCAGGTTAGATAAAGGCCAGAGAAAGGTGGAACACCCGACGTGGATGATTTAAGGGGGGTTATTAAAGGATAGTGTGGGCCAGAGAGAGAGAACCACAGGAGCAGCTTAGTATTGGGCAAGGCTGGGGACTGCTCCTGAGGGTGTCACCACCCCCAGGTCTGAAAGATGGGGAGGAGCACCATCCAACAGGAATTGTGGTCTTGGGGCACCTGTAGCCAGCCCACAGCTCCCAGGTCGGGGGGCAGACACCCAACCTCATTCTCCCCGTTCTGATCTCCTGCTGGTGCCTCTGCTGGCTGAACCTGAGCCCCACAGATAGGAAGCCCAGTGGTGCAGCCCACACAGGCAGCCTCCCGGACTAGGAGCAGGGCAGATACTTTGAGGTTGTAAATCAGAGGCCTGTTCTTGCTCTTTCTAGTACAGGGACCTGGTCCTGTGAAGCACTTTTTCTCACTGCTTTCTTTTCCGTCCTAGCCAGGCTTCTTTCGAAGCAAATAGGGCTGGTGGTATCTCACCCATTTCACAGGTGAGAAAACTGAGGTGGACGCTGCCTTCCATATTTCAGTCAGGAAACCCCATGTCTAATAGATGTGTGGCACACCTAGCCCAGAGCCTCCTCAGTGCTGGGAGGGGTGATCAGTCACAGTCTGTGTTTCTGAGACGTGAGGTGCAGGTCTTTCTTCTCTCTCCCTGATCAGGAAACAGATGAGCAGCGGGGCTTAAAACAGGCCTGATCCCGCCCGGCCAGCGTGGCTCAGTGGTTGAGTGTTGGCCTATGAACCAGGAGGTTTGATTCAGGTCAGGGCACATGCCCGGGTTGCAGGCTCTGATCCCCAGTGTGGGGTGTGCAGGAGGCAGCCGATCAATGATTCTCTCTCATTATTGATGTTTCTCTCTCCCTCTCCCTTTCTCTCTGAAATCAGTAAGAACATATTAAAACAACAACAAAAATCCAGGCCCCATCCCAACCCAAAACCAGGAGTAACTTAGGAACCGAGGTGCGGTGAACCTTGCATTCTGACCTCCTTTCACGTGTTTAGGCCTAAGTGACCTCCTTTGTGTCCTGGTCTCGGCCTGAAGGGAGCTTCGGCAAAGCCAGTTTCCTGTAAAGACTTACGCGTCCAGAGGCCTTTCTTCTTCTCTTTCTTTCTTTTCTTTTTTTTTTTTTTTTTAGGCTGGGGTCTGACAGAGAAACAAGGGAATGATCAACTAGCGAACTTCACACTCTGCCTGAGGCAAGGGCTCAGTGGTGGGGAGACTTGAAAGGTGAACCGGGGAGGGTTCTGGAGCCGGTTTTGTTTCTTAGAAGAAATTCAAAGGAATTTCTGGCTAGCCATAGTTTTGAGCTGGGAGACTCCTGCTGCTGGTGGTTGGGGCTTTCATTTTGTTTCTTAGTTGAAGAAAGGGAGATGCCCAACCTCAGGCTCATTCCTGTGTGCCCTGGGAGAGCCACACTCAGGAGCCAGGGTCCGCCTTGAGCAGGGGTGGGCAAACTTTTTGACTCGAGGGCCACAATGGGTTCTTAAACTGGACCGGAGGGCCGGAATAAAAGCATGGATGGAGTGTTTGTGTGGACTAATATAAATTCAAAGTAAACATCATTACATAAAAGGGTACGGTCTTTTTTTTTTTTTTAGTTTTATTCATTTCAAACGGGCCGGATCGTAGTTTGCCCACGGCTGGCCTTGAGTGTGTGAGTGTGTGTGTGGGGGGAGCGGGGGGGGGGCGGGGCGGATGTGAAATCCTTGGGAGTTAGATTTGGGATCTTTTCAAAGCGCAGTCAGATCTTGTCACTCCACTGCTCAAGGCCCTGCCGGGGCCCCTGCATCACTCAGAGCAAAACCCAAAATCCTGACGCCTGCCTTTCCCCGGCAAACACACACCATCGGCTCTGCCCCACCTCACTCTGCTCCGGCCGCCGGGCCTCCTTGCTGAGCCTCGACCTTCTGGCCATGCTCTTCCCTCTAGGTCTTGGCCCTTGCTTATCCCTCTGCCGGAATGCCCCTCCCCCGAGAGCCGCATGACTCGGTCCTCACCTCCTTCAGGACTTAGTGCAAACGTCCCCTTTCAGGGACAGCCTAGTTAAATTCCCTAAGCAGCCTAGTTAAAATTGTAGCCCCCCACCCCAGTGCCACTCACCCTCTCCCATCCCCCTCTGGCCTCCTTTTTCTCCATTGTACTTACTTCATCTGATAGACTGGATTCTACTCATGTGCAAACGCTCATTCAGCGTCACCACCACACCCACAGGAAGAGGGCCAGCAGCCTGTACATGGAAACCCTGGGCAGGAGGGAGGTGGGGGCAGCCAGCTGGCTTAGTTGGTGGCTGGTCTTCCAACCTCGCAGGTGCCCAGACAGGCCGATGAGCAGATGTATTCTTCCTTAGCTCGTGTCTGCGGGGGCTCTCTGGACAGAGGCTGGAAGTGATGCTGCCATTTGATTCAGTTTTCCTTCTACTTGTGGTCTTCGTGTTCCTTCAAAGCTTTCCTACTGCTCCCCCAGAGCCCAGAGTGTGTGTGGTGGTGGAGGGTGTGGGAGGGTGTGTGGGTAAGATGTCTGTGTATGATGTGTGTGGTGTGTGTGGAGCGGGTGTATGTGGAGGGCATTGTATGGAGAGTGTGTAGAGGGTGGGTGTGTGGAAGGTGTGTGTATGTGGTATGTGTGGAGGGTATGTGTGTGTGATGTGTGTAGAGGGTGTTTTGTGGAGGGAGTGTGAGTATGTGTCTTGTGTGGGGGGGTGTGGGGGGCGGTGTGTGTGGAGAGTGTTTGTGTGGAGGGATTGTGTGTATGTGTGGTGTGTGTGTATGTGTGGTGTGTGTGGAGGGTGTGTGTGGGGGGATTGTGTGTATGTGTGGTGTGTGTGTATGTGTGGAGGGTGTGTGTGTGGGGGATGGGTATGTGCGGAGTGTGTGTGTGCACAGGCATGTGGTGAGGTCAGGAGTGAGTGCACCTATGTAAACAGCCCAGGAGCTCCGACTCTAACAGGTGCCTCCAGTGAGACACGAGGGGAAGAGAGGCCAGCCCCTCCCCATCTTCACGCAGCGGGACTTGCCCACGGGCTCCTTCCCCTCCTGACGCTCCCTCTCCCTTCCCCTCTCCCTGCAGAGCTCTCCTTCAGGGTGTGGATGTGCGGAGGGAGCTTGGAGATCGTGCCCTGCAGCCGGGTGGGCCACGTCTTCAGGAAACGGCATCCCTACAACTTCCCCGAGGGCAACGCCCTCACCTACATCAGGTAGGTCACAGAACCAAGAGCTCTGAGCTGGGAGCCAGTCCTGTCGATGACTTCGGCAGCCACCCACTCTCTGGGCCTTGGTTCCCCACCTCCCCTCCCAGGTACTTTCAGGGTGGAAGGATGAAGTTGGGCTGTTGCCTTGACTATCTTTGTCCTTGAGGGTCTTGGAAAACCAGCCAAATGACCGACTGGGAGCTGCCCCCACTCACATGGCACGGACACCATGTCCTGACTCTGACTTGGTCAGCGTCTGCCCATCCATATCCTTAGCCACAGGCCTTTTCATACATTTTCACATTACAGTTCATGGAGAGAGAGAGAGAGAGAGAGAGAGAGAGACGCATGTACACCATGGGTTTGTGTTTTTATGTAAATGGGACCCTGCTCTGTGATTTTATGCAGCACGCTGTCCTGCCGCTCACCACTGAATTACAGACATGCTTCCCCATCAGTGCTTATCAAGCGTGGCATTGTTGTCCAAGGTGGCCCAGTACTCCGTCATGTAGAAGTAGTTCATCATCATCCACCGATGGGCCTTTAGGTGGTTGCCAATGTTTATTAAACAAATATTCTTGTACATGTCCTTCTTGCCCACATGCAGGTCTGTCGGTAGAATAGATTCCTGGGAGTGGAGCGTCAGAGTATACATAAGTTGGTGGATATCGACAGATTGTTCTCCAAAAAGATTATGCTCATTTATACCATCCCAATCAGTGTTGTTCTGCATCCTCTCCTGAGATTTTCACCACCCATGGTCTCATCAATGCACAGAGCTGATCTTGGTCCTAACCCTACCTCTGTCGCCGCCTTGGTGACCTTCTTTTGCTCCTTCCTCTCCTTTAGGAATACCAAGCGCACTGCAGAGGTGTGGATGGACGAATACAAGCAATATTACTACGAGGCCCGGCCCTCCGCCATCGGGAAGGCCTTCGGCAGGTGGGCCCTCCCCCAGCCCTGTTTGCCTCCCTCCACCCGAGTTAGCACAACGTTAGCCAGAGTACAGCGTGTAGGCATTCAGTGTGCTTAGTAACGGAGCCCTGCTCCGTGTGCAATGCAGAGACAAGACACTGGTCCATGAAGAGGATGCAGTCCGTGGGGGGCAAATAAGCAGAGAGGGCTGTCTGTGGGAAAGTGTCTGTGCACAATCCGCCTGCAGGAAGAGGGACATCGGTGGGAGCGCTTAGGGATGAACCGTCTGCAGAAGACACTTCGGGTTTTGTCTCCACCCCCTGTTGTTCCCAATGTGACTGGGAGCTGTTAGCCTATTTTCCTGTCTCCGGCTGTTATGACTACAGTCTGGTTAAGCATTTCCAACATGCAGATTGGTTATGAAATCAATTTAGTGGGTTGTCACTAGCATTGTCTTAAAAAATGAGAGGGACTGAGAACACTGTAGATCAGTACAGAACAGAATAGAAAATAACAGGCTATGGCAGTGAGGGTGGTGGTGTGTTTTGCGATATTTCAGTTATTTCAGTTATACGCGTCTGTGTGTTTGCATACGGGGAAACTGGATCGTAATATAAGATGCATCTATTTCTTATTTAAGGTCGTAGTCAGAATGAATTACTAGTGATCATCAATGAATCTTCCTCCCTCTATTTACTTATAGCTATCTCTTTAAAAAAAGAGTTTTATCACTGACTCCTTCTTTTAGTGGGAGCTAGCCTTTATGAGGACCTACCCTGTGCTAAGCACTTACGTCCCTTCATTTATTTGATTCTCACCAAAACCTCCTGAGGTGGCTGGTTACGGCTTCAGTTTACTGGAGAAGAAACTGAGGCTCAGAGAGGTGGTGAGGGTCATGTCACTGGCCGTTATGGTCAGTGTCGCTGAGGAAAGTGAGGAAACCAACCTGTGTGCCCACCGACACCTTAGACGGTCTGATTGGCTAGGGTTCCCGCGAGACCTCTACAGCCTGTTCCTCTTGTTGTGCACAGAAGGGAAACTCGAGTTCATTAGGGCTCTGCTCTCTGTGGAGGTAAGAGCCTGTGCTGAGGGTATGTGTGACGCTGGCTGAGGGCTCCAGGAGTGAGGAGCCTGAAGCTCGGCCCCCTGCAGGCTGGGCTGATCTTAAAAGGTGAGCAGGAATTTGAGGAGAGAAATGAGGAGTGGCCAGGAGACCTGGGTGAACTCAATGGTCAGAGAATGACCTGAGGCAGGTGGCAGAGGCTGGAGGGCCGGCTGAGACCCAGCCTCCTGGCCTGGCCCGCTAAGGAGGGAGCCTGGCCAGTCCTCCCTGGGGCTTCCTCCTGTGCCCACTGGCCCAAGCCTGAGCCTGGCCTCCTCCTTCAGTGTGGCCTCGAGGATCGAGCAGAGGAAGAAGATGAACTGCAAGTCCTTCCGCTGGTACTTGGAGAACGTCTACCCAGAGCTCACGTGAGTGCTGCCATCAGCCTGTGCATCTGGCCTGGGTGGGGGCCGGCAGTTTGGGGGACCCCCCCAACCCCGAGTCTCCCCATCCCAGGCTCTCCGGCTGGCTCTTCTAGCTGTCCGTGTTTATCTTCATGTGAAGGCTGAGGGGGAACTGGAAGGATGTTACCAGGAGTTTACAGACTGGGTCTTAGAGCCAGAAACAGACATTGTCTCTTTAGGCAAACAACACTGCATTATGTAGCAAAGGCCACAGAAATCGGCATGCCCTTTCACTCTGTTCTCTCCCTCCTGGGAGTTTATTCTAAGGAAATGAAGCAACTGAAGAAAAAAAAAACTATTGACAAGTACACATTCACTATAGGCTTCTCTGCTGCAGGGGAGAAATCAAGAAGCAACCAACAATGAGGGCTGGGTTCCTGTGAATCATGATTCATCAATCTTAGACAAATATCATGCATCCCTTACCAGTATAATTGTAAAGACTGGAAAAGCATGGGGAAATGCTTGCTCTATCAAATTTGGAAGCAACCTGAAAATGGCGTGAGCCACTTTTTAAAAATATTTTTATTTATTTGTAAATATATCTTTATTGATTTCAGAGAGGAGAGAAGAGGGAGTGAGAGATAGAAACATCTATGATGACAGAGAATCATTGATCAGTTGCCTCCTGCACGCCCCCCACTGGGGATCGAGCCCATACCCAGGCATGTGCCCTGACCAAGAATCGAACTGTAACCTCCTGGTTCATAGGTCAACACTCAACCACTGAGCCATGCTGGCCGGGCTACAGCCATACTTTCTTTCTTATTTCAAAATCCTTTTGAGTGTCTTGGCTGCATCCACATTTCCTCACCTCCTTCAGGTCTTGCTCAAATGTCCCTTCTCAGGGACACCTCCCCTGAACACCCGTCCCCAGCACTCCTGCTTCGTTTTCCTCTGTCCCCTCACCATTACCTGGCACACACCTGGCCAGGTAGTTTTGTGGTCCTCTCCCCACACATGACTGTAAGCTCCACGGTAGAGGTGTTTATCTGTTTCCTCCACTGCTTTATCTCCAGCCCCTAGAACAGTGTCTGTCACAGAATGGGCTCTCAATAAATATTGTTGACAGAATGAATTGCATAGTCAATAAGCCTCAATAATAACTTTGAAATTAGCATTCTTCCTTCCATAGCTGTCAGCTTGGGGAGCGGGTTACCCACTGTGAGGCTTTCTCCTGAAGATGCCGGGCGGCTTTCCAGAACACACCCCCCCTCAGAGCTTGCATATCTATGAAGGGAAGATTTGATTTTTGAAAAACAGCCATAGTTACATTAGAGGCAAGACCAGTGAATAAGCTAGATTAACCCAGATAAGATCATCCTGGGTCCCAAATACAGTGTGACAAGACTGAAACAAGTCACAGAAGTAAACGGACCCTGGGAGCAGTTTCTAAGGAATTCCAAAATCATTTGAGCAATGGCAGCATCCTCCGAACAGAGTTGGCAACTGGGATAACGCCAAGCTCCCTGGATGATAGCTGTGAAGGGAAGAACATGCATTTGTAAAAGTATAATAAACAACTTCCTCGAGTGACCACTTTTGAGGGGATGGTTTCATTCAGACGTGTCATTTCTGAGGGAAAAGCCATTTCTTTACATTCTGTTGGCGTTCACACCGCATGTGGATGGAGCCATGGACTCCAGGCCTTGGTGGGAGCTGGGGAGCCTGGGGAGGAGTTGGGGGAGGGGGGATCGAAGGTGTCCTTCCAGTCCTCACCCCAGTCCCCACACAGAGTGTCCCACGTCATCCCCCGAGGACCAAGAGGAAGAAGTATTTTATAGCTGTCAGAAACCTGGACGGATCGATCCCAAGGCAAGCCAGTGGATGAAACCAGCTGTGTTAAATGAGGAGCATAAGTCAGCCTCTGTTTGTTCTGTCACTGCGTGAAAGTAAAAAATGATTTATTGCTGTTAAGGTAGAAAACACACACCTCATTCATATCCGGATGAGTTCTCCCCAGTCCACTGCTCATGCCTCAGTTCTCGGGGGAGAGGCCAGGGCTTAGAAAGATCAGTTGGCCCAAAGGATACCAACTTCCTTCCAAAGGGGATTCTAGTAGCTGCCCACACGGCTGCCAGGGGTGCGGGAGAGAAACGCTGAGGAAAGGAGACCTGGTTTGGCCGAGACCCTATAGGAGGATGTCTGCATCGAAGAATGCCAGAGTGGTCTGGTGTCCCCCCTGTCCCTGCCCAAGTTCTCTTCCTGACCAAGGTGACAGGAGGCAGATAAGGTTAGGCACGTGGCCAGACTCTAAGCCCCCCTGGTTCCCCATCACCCCCATGGGTCCACAAGCCAAGATCGTGTATAACCTCCTAAACCCATGTATACAAACCTGCTTCTGCTGGGCCGGCACCTTCTTAGGTTTACTGCCCACAGGGTAAGACGCTGTGTCTCATGTCAGTGTGTGTGTGTGTGTGTGTGTGTGTGTGTGTGTGTGTTTATGCATATTTTTGCTGTGCATATAAAGTGTTTTAATGATATAGTATTTTGAAATGCCTGTATTACTTAACAGTTGCCCACATTAGCAGATATTCCTTCACAGTCATTTTTAATAGCTAAAGGGTTTTCCATCTTGCAGATGAATCAGTTTTCTTTGCCCACCCTCTATTGTTGGATATCTGCGGGTTTTCAATGTTTTCATGTAATCAGCCACTCTGATGACTATCGTCCCAGTTTTAGTATATGTGCTGCTGAAGCGAGCACTGATGAATATCTTTTAAACTAAATCTTTGCACACATCTACGATTATAGCCGTAGGATATTCAGTTTCCTGAAGTGGGGATGATGAGGTCAAAGGTGTGCACATTTTTGTTGTTGTTAATCCTCACCAGAGGATTGCTTTTCCATTGATTTTTTTTTTTTTTTAGAGAGATTGGAAGGGAGGGGGAGAGACAGAGAGAAACATCAATATGAGAGAGACACATTGATTGGTTGCCTCCCACACGTGCCCCAACTGGCACCAGGGACCGAGCCTGCAATCAAGGTACGTGCCCTTGGCCGTAATTGAACCTGAGACCCTTCAGTCCACGGGCCGATGCTCTAACCACTGAAGAACCGGCCAGGACAAAGGTGTGCACATTTGTAAGGCCTTTGATACATAACAGTAATAACACATTGCCCTCCAGAACAGTTAGGCTAGTTTGTGCTTTCGCCGGTAGAGTATGAGATGATCCAATCCCACAGCTAGTGACAACACTGGGCATTGATATTAAGTATATATATATTTACATGTATTATTACATATATACTATATTTTATATGTATATAAATACACAACATGTACATACTGATGTGGTCATCAAACAGTGCTGTCCAGTCTGTACTTCTTTAAGGTTGGTTAGTGAGATTGAACACATTTTCATATTTGTTTATTTACATTGGCCTCTTGAAAGTGCCCCTTCCCTGTTGTTCTGAGATTGCTTACTGGGCCCTCATTCACGTCCCCGCCCTCCCCAGGTTCTCCTCTTTCTGGACTGGGGAGTCCTGGGTTTCTGGCCTAAGCTCTCTCCCCAGGGTCCTCCCAGATCTAGCCTCCAGGCAGTCCCTGGGCTCCTGGCGCTACCCAGAACCCAGTGGGGCCCAGGCCTGTCTTCCCCAAGGAATCCCTGCTCCCTTCTCCCCCTTCTCCCCTCCTTGCCAGCTAGGTCTGTCCCCCACCCGGTGCCCCTCTCCCCTGACACCTCCATGCCCCAGGAGCTCAGGGGCTGCCCTCTGGGCAAGCGTGGGTAAGCCCTCAGCAGGGCAGGAAACAAGCCTGGCCCTGCCTTTCCTCAGGGTCCCAGTGAAGGAAGTGCTTCCCAGCATCATTAAGCAAGGAGTTAATTGCCTGGAATCCCAGGGCCAGGACACAGCTGGTAACTTCCTGCTTGGAGTGGGGACCTGCAGGGGGTCTGCCAAGAACCCGCCAGCACCCCAGGTAAGTTGCTTAGGACCCAGAGTGGGGTGAGGGGCTTTCCTCCGCTCATGCTCATCCTCTCTGCCTACACCCTCCACAAACCCACTTTCCCAGGGACCCTGCCAGCCGTCCTCCCACTCTGCTCCTTGCGTCTGTCTGCTCCTTTCCAGCCTGTGACACAGTTGCCCTCCGTGCCCCACCCGCTGTACCCTTACAGAGGGAGAAGTGCTGCCCAAACAGCGCCCAGTTCTCCCCTGGGACGCAGCTGTGGTCAGCTTTTATGGCGGGAGCAGGGCATGTGTGCAAAATATGAATGCCGATGCACCCAGGTCAAAACCAGAGCAGGTCACGGAGCCCCCATCATGGCTGCCCCGGTCCCATGCCCTGTCGTTCTCCATGGCCCTCTGGCCAGCTCCAGCCAAGCTCCCCTCATATTTTATTATGAAAAATTTCAAACATATAGAAAAGTTAAGAGAATTGTACAGTGAATACCCATACACCCACCCCTATTAGAAAACTCTATCACAATATACAGTATATTTGCTTTATCGCATAACCAACCTGCGCATCCATCACTACTTTTTAAAAAATATATATTTTTTTATTGATTTCAGAGAGGAAGGGAGGGAGAGGCATGTGCCCTTGACCAGAATTGAACCCGGGACCCTTCAGTCCACAGGCCGATGCTCTATATACCCACCGAGCCAAACCAGCTAGGGCTCCATTGCTGTACTTTTGACTCAGCCTTCCTGGTCCCTGTCTTGCAGGCATGGCTGTTCAGTGACCACCTCATCCAGCAGCAGGGGAAGTGCCTGACCGCCACCTCCACCTCCGTCTCCATCTCCCCTGGGTCCCCGGTCGGACTACAGACGTGCAACCCGAGAGAAGGCAAACAGGTAAGCCTCCTTGTCCCTGGGCTCAGGATGGCCAGCATGTCCAGGGGGACAGGCAGTGGGGGTGGCAGCTCCTTGCAGGGGAGCCCCAGGCTGAGACATATAAACTCAAATAAACCCTCCGGAATGAGGACCTGTGCAGGCCTCAGTCATTATCTGAGTCAAGTCCATGATCTTACTCATGAGGAAGTTCTTCAGGCAAGTATTTCTTAAATGTCTGCCCTGCCCGCTGGGAGCTGAATGAGGGCAGAGACTCTGGCAGCACTGTCCCTGGCCTCTGACAACCCCCACAGCCAAAATAAAGGTTCGCTTTTACTGAGAGCTCTGCTAGGAGTTCTACATGGATCATCCCATCTAATCCTCCCAGCAACCCCCGACGAAGGCTCTAGCACTACCCATTTTTAGGGGACAAGACCGAGGCCCTAAATTGGAGAGATAAGTGTTAGCTCACTCAGCTGGGGATGGGATGGAGCTCTGATTGAAACCTGGGTAAGGGTGATGCCTAGCCCACAGTCTTAGCCCAGCGCGTAGTCGATGCTCAGTAAGGATTTCTTGACTGCTGGCTGACTGGGGACACAGATGCAGAGTGACTTCCAACTTGTCCTGCCAGCCACACTTTGTCCTCCATCCAGGCACTTCCAAAATGTTCTACGTGAACAGCTCTCCTTCCCCTTGTCAAGCCTGGGGAAGAGGAGGCCCCAGGAGGGGAAGGCACTGACCCGGGAGGCCTTTCATGACTCTTAAGGGGACTCAGGGGGCCCCTCCATCCCGCTGGCCTCACTCTTCCTCTGCAGAGATGGCGGCCAGTTCCCACGAACGGGTGTAGGTCCTGGCTGCACAGTCATAGGCCAGGGCGAAGCTTAGAGCTGCAGGAAGAAGAAATCTCGTCCGAAGGAGTCAAAGATTCACCTGGTCCAGGAACTCAAGCTCAAGTGTCCCCAGGGAGCAGTGGGGAAGCCGGGGCGGGGCTCAGGTGAACTGAGGTCACGGTCCAGCTCCCTCAGCCCCAGGCAGCCATGAAGGGAAGCTGGAAACGCTGATCCTTCTGTGGCAACTAAGCCAACTTTTAAATTAACGCTGTGCAGGCCAAACAAAATACATCTCTGGGTTAGATTCAGCCCATGGGCCTCTGATCCAGACACTGACTTCGTGCCAAACTACAGAACAAGCGTGCATTGGGAGGCTCAGCTCAAAGCTTGTGTGCGGAGGGGGCCCCTTATGAAAGGGACACACGGGCTGTTTAAACGGGGGCAGGGGTGTCCTGGGCATATGCAGGGCCTTTACATGCATGTGCAATGAAGGTGTGAGCACTATTCTCACTGTTAATCACTGTTTTCTCCTTCTCCGCCTTCCCTGCTTCTCCCCCCAGAGATGGAGGAGAAAAGCCTCTTTCATCCAGCATTCGGTCAGCGGCCTCTGCCTGGAGGCCCAGCCCACACAGCTGGTGACCAGCAAGTGCCAGGCTGACACCCCCGCCCAGCAGTGGCAGCTGTTGCCGCAGCCGCACACATGATGGCAGCCCGGGGCCTCCTGTACCTTCTGCATGAGACTTTGGGACTGGAAGGGGTTAGGGTGGGGGAGTGTAAAGCGGGCCGTTCCCATCTCCTCACATTTCTGCCGGAACCATCAGCAAACACCCCTGCCATGAGACACCATTCTCCAGAGCTTGCACAGGGCGGGCATGGGGGCGTGCCTCGGTGCCCAGGCTGCCGACCCGCCCTCACCCCGGGAGAGAAGAAGGCCAGGATCTGGACTGCTACTGGGTAGAGACTGGGCAGGTGCCCTCACATCTTTGTCCCCTCCCTTCTCCTTCCTGGGGGCCTGGGCAGTGGGTTGGGTGCCCTCCCGTCGTTGTCTGGGTAGATCAAGGACAGAAGCCCACCTAGGGTCCCCACTGTGTCACAGGCCCTGTTTGTGGGATCATGGGAAGAGGATGTAGGTGGCATGGATGGAGAAACCGAGGCTGGGAGGAGAGGGGCAGCCTGCAGTGTGGGTGGAGAACCAGGGGGAAGTGAGTAGCTCAGTGGCCTGTCCCCGGCAGGTGCTGGGCTGGGTGTGGGAGGGAGGGGGTCGGGAGCAGAGGATGGGTGATTTGTGGAAGGACGTGGACAGGAAAGCGGCACAGCACCCAAAGAGTGGGTCTCTTCCCGGGCACCCAACCTCCCAGGCCGCACCAGCCCCCGGGCACGGTGCCCGCCTCCGTCCTGTGCTCCGGTCCCCACTTCTTAGGAAGAGGCTGCGGGGCAATCTTCAGGGGCAGGCTTGGGACACTGTGTATTACACAGATCCCACTTCTGTTTGGTCATGTGTCAGGACAAGACGTCGCCCTCTGGGCCTTACTGACCCGCTGGCGCCCTGTGCCCCTTGTCTGGGCCCACCACGAAGACCCCGTAAGGACAGGCAGCCACCCTGCCATGCACCACTGAGCTGCCCCGTCCAGGTTCGCAGTGACGCTGCCTTCTCCAAAGCCTTTGCCTTTGTAAACAGAGCATGATGGAATGGGGGGGCCCGTAAGAATGGGACCTCCGTCTGGAGCATCAGCGCTCCCTACGTCATTAGGGAGAAAGTCCTCCAGGCCCAGCCTCGTGCTCCCTCTGCCCGCCCCCCCCCCCCCCCCCCAAACCACCACCCCCCATGAAGACATTCATTTGGCAGCTTGCTTTTTTATTTTTAGACACACACGCACTTCAGGAGGGAGGCCCCAGAAGGTCAGTCACTGCAGCGGGCGGAAGGCTGGCTGGTGACTCCCGATGGTGTAGAGAGGTGCCCGGTATTTCTCACAGCCACTGGGCCTTGCCCCCACCCCCTGGCCTGGTCTCAGAACCACTTCTGTTATTCCCCGTGCTCCTCTTCTCCCGCCCCACCGGCCCAGGCAGTGTGATCTTGGGCAAAAGACTGGTGGTGCCAGGACCCTGGGGTCCCCCTCCCAAAGCAAACCAGCCTGAGACCAGCCTTGGGGGCTCATGGATTCCAGAGGGCCTAGGAATCTCCTGAAATTGCCCCCCAAATCGTGCATGTGTGTGCATAGACACAGTTTCCCGAGGAGCGCGTCCATGGGCTTCCCCAGCTTCTTACAGAGGCCCTTGACCCCTAAAGGGTCCGAGCCTCTGCTCTGGACTGGACCTGCCATGCGCCTCAGCTGCCATGCCCATCTCTCCCGCTGGTGCGCCTGAGCTGCTGTCGCCTGCTCCCTCCATGCAGCCCTTGGGGCAGGACCCACCCGGAGGGTTCTCAATGGTTTCCTCACCTCCTGGCTCTCACTGGCATCCGCTCGGCAGTGTTCCTGTGCCCCAGCGTGCACCCCGTGTCTAGGCGTGGGGGCCGCGCCTCTCCCTTCCTCTGCTGTGGTGTTTCGTCCACCACCATCTCCGTGGTGCGTGCTCACCCTGGCGGGCAGTGTGGACCTTTGGGGCTGGGGAGGGAGGGCTTCTCTTGGATGTAAGAGGACTGCAGCTCAGAGTGGCTCAGAAAGGCCCCTCCTTCCCTGCCAGCCCAGGCTCGGCACTTGTCAGCCACCATCTGTGGGCCTCAGCCCTGTTCTGTTTTTGCTTTTCCTCTTCTTGACCAAAGCATGTGCCACTCACGGTCCTTGAGGACCTCGTCTTTATGAAACACGCGCCTGGAATAAAACCACTTCTCACACCGACACGTGCACCAGCGCCTTCCTGACTCCGGAGTCCAGCCCCTCCGCGCCACCCTCCCCTGCAGGAGTGAAGTTGGGGCCTCTATTCAAGTCTCACCCCCTCCTGCACCTGAGAGCTTGCTCCTCGGCCTACCTGCCCGTCGTACCCCAGGGACTCCTGGACGACAGGCTGTTCTGGGGGGAGCCAGCGGGTGGCCCTGCTGGTGGGGCAGGCTGGGACCTCACTGAGAGACACTGCTTGGGGCTTTGAATGGGAACCCAAGGGGCTTCTCCACATGCTGCCTTGTGCCAGCCCTCTCCTTCCCTGAGCGCCAGCCCCGGCCCCTCTGAACTGCCCTTCGCCCCCGCCACACAAGAAGGCAGCGGTAAAAAGGCAGGTGGGACCATTTCCTGGGTAGAAACAGTAAAATAATTGCGGAAAGAATCCTACCAGCCTAGCCTTGTTTGATCAGGCAGCAGATGCTCTGCCTAATGTTTCCATGGAAACCAATGGAAAGCCCCTGCCATTTGTGTGATCAGAAGCTGAACTCACCCAGGTAGAAATAAACACTTGGGCGCACATGTGAACTGTAGTGGGAGACTCACCCTCTCCTGGATGCAGCCATTTTCGTCCCTGTCCCCACCTTGGCTCAGGGCTGGCTGGTGCCAAGTCCAAGCACACAGCGTGGCTCCAGAGCGCAGCTTGGGCTCAGCCAGGCAAAGGCTCACTTGGGTTCCCCAGAACTGATGACCCCCAGGCCTGAGGGCCTGGAGCAGAACGCTGGCTGGTGCCAAGTCCAAGCACACAGCATGGCTCCAGAGCGCAGCTTGGGCTCAGCCAGGCAAAGGTGACAATTTACTGCAGGACTCTGGCTGCAGTCTGCCCATCGTCCATCCTCTCGAGGAGCACAGTCCACTGCCCACCGCCTTCGTGGGCCTCCCTCCTGGCCAGGCTGGGCCAGCTTTCCACTTCCGTCTATTTCACTCCCACCTTGCAGGGCTCTGGTCCTACTTTGCCAGAGGCACGCTCTTGCCCTTCTCCAAACGCACCTCTCTAAGGCCCATTTTCTCTCCCACCCACTCCCCTTCTTTTTCCTGGAAAGGAAGGCTGTTAGCCTTTAGCCAGCTCCTGGAGGACTCAGCAAACGCCCTCTGGCTGGCCAGTAACAACAGGCCTAGCAGAACCCGACAGGATAGAAGAGCGAGCCTCCCAGAGCACCTGGGGTGGGGAGGGCGGGAGGGACACTCTGAGGCCAGCCTCTGGTTTGTCCAGCAGGGAGGGCTCCCTCCATCCCTGGGCCTCTGAGACTTGGCTGCTGTTTTCACAAAGACTCTTCTCTGGCCCCTCAGGCTCCCCATTGGCAGGCCTGCGGATTGTCTTCCAGCACTGAATGGGGTGTGGTCCTCTCCCACCAGGCGAACAGGACAGGAAACCTGGAAGGGAAAGGCTGGACTTCATAACGTCCACAGCTTCATTCCTGACTATATTCTCAGCATCTGGTATTTCTGTGTCCCCTAAGATGCTCTGAGTCAGTTTCCTCCAGAAGGGAGGGGACCCAGGCAGCTTCTCTCATCTTAAGAGGTCTTCACTGCCAGGCTCTTAGCAAAGACCTTGAGGCAGAACCGGGAGGGTCTAGGGCAGTGATGGCGAACCTATGACACGCGTGTCAGAGGTGACACGCGAACTCATTTTTTTGGTTGATTTTTCATTGTTAAATGGCATTTAAATATATAAAATAAATACCAAAAATATAAGTCTTTGTTTTACTATGGTCGCAAATATCAAAAATTTCTATATGTGACACGGCACCAGAGTTAAGTTAGGGTTTTTCAAAATGCTGACACGCCAAGCTCAAAAGGTTCGCCATCACTGGCCTAGACCCTCTCTCAAGCATGTCAAACCCGTGGCCGGCGGGAGAAGAGGAGCACGGCCATGGCGTACTCAGCCCCAGGGCGCCTTATGTGCCGCGCCAGCTCAGGTTCAGTGACCCTGAGAGAGGGCGGTGAAGGATGGAGAAAAGACAGACAAGAGAAAAAAGCTGTGACTGGGTGGGATGCTGTCCTCTCTGGTGGACAGTTAGCGACAGCACCACGGACTACAAGCCGTGTCTTTATTTTATAGCCAGATTCCTCGAGGCAACGTAAGGGTGTGGTCAAGATGTTTACAACATTCTCGTGGGTTTCAATCCCACTCAACTACATGCACCTGAACTCTATCAAGCCCACATCACTCAGACACATGGGGCCACGTGTTCGGACCATAGGTTCAAGCTTACACTACAGCTGTTGGGTATCCTTGTGCTGGGAGGGCTCTGCCCTCCAAGCTGGGACTTGCACGTGGCCACGAGAGGACTGTGCCCTCTCATTAGTCCGAGACTTGAACCTGTCCAAACACTGTAGTCGCTCTCCACATGCTTCCGTGTGTGTGGTGAGTGGCCGGGGTGATCCTGGTGAGTCCGCCTCCCTCTGAAGCAGGAGGAAGAGGAGCCACACAGGGGAGAGTCAGGACTGGCCAGGCTCTGATAGAGCATGAGGGCACTCGACCTCCCTGTGAGGAGCAGCCCAGGGGAAGGAAGGCCACCCCCGTGCTCCTTGTTACACTTCCCCTCGGAACCAATGAATGTGGGGACCAGATGTAGGAGCCAGAGGTCTGAGCCAGAACCAGCACCCCAAGAGAGCAGTTGAACAGGAAACCAGGGCTGGCAGGGGAGAACCCAGAGGTGGTTGCTTAGAGCCTCCCTAACAGGGCCTCTGGGTTAGAGGCAGCTCCCCACCTGGCAGGTGGCTTGCTGAAGTGGGGTGTCCCGCGGGCCCCACAGACCTCTGGGGCAGCGGCAGCGCTTCAGGTTTCTCTGTTCACGATGGCAAGAGGGCTGCCCTAGCTGCAGGGTGACGCTGATCTCCCGAGCCCCTTCTCTGTGACAGAGGGAGAGGGGGCGTGTTAAGGTTAAATCAGGTCACAGTGAGTGGTGGGGGCAGCAGGTGGGGCAGCAGAGTGGCACGGGGGCTTTCTCCTGGGAGTGTGCTCACATCCTGCAGACCTTCCCTTTCCTTCCGACGGATGCTGGGAAGGTGAGCAGGCTCTGGGCAGGGTTGCAGGTCCTCTGGGATGCCTGCACGCATCACACAGACTCTCACCTCATCACCATGAACATCAGCAAGCCCACAAGGATGAGCTGAGCACCGACCACACAGAGGACGTGGGATGGGCTCAGAGGAGCCCAGTTAACCACCAGTGGGCAGGGCCGCCCATCGCCGGGCACCAGACAGCCAGGCCAGCCTGTTCTTCACCCTGCGGTCCCGTCAAACTGCCATGTGTCCTGTTTCTGGGAGTTTTCTGCCTTCTCATGTTTGTGCGTTTGCTCTTTTTCCTGCCCTCTACCGTGTCATCTCCGTGGGTCAAATGCTACCCATTTTTTCAGACAAATGCTGCATAAGGGAATCTTCTCTGACCTCCCACCTGTTTGGAAGCATCTCTCAGATTATTTCTTCAACGTCATTACTGTTCCTCTCCAGCCACAGTGAACGACCTCCCTCCTTATGCAGTGAACTGGACTTGCCATCTCCAGTGTGAGGGAAATGCTCACTTGTCCGAATTCAAATAACGGACTAGGAGACAGAAGTATGGTGAAAAACGAGACTTTTAATATGTTCTCGAGAGCGGTGTCCAGTTGTACAGGCACATCTGGAGTAGCGATCACAGTCTGTTTATCTCCTTAGGGTGCGAGAGTCCCTTCTCCGGCTCCTCATTGGCTGAGTACTATGGGGTTAATAGTTTCCTCATACTTTGCCTAGGTCTTACTGTCTCCTATTGGGCCATTTAAAAAAATAGGTTGAGGCCTTTTCTAGTTGCCTCCCCCGCCCCCTCTCTAGTTGAGGTGGGCACCTTGGGCTTTTCCACCATGATGCTGGCTCGAGTACACAGTTCTTTGTTCTTATATCCTCCTCTCTACATTCTGTTTGCCTTGGGGAAATTCAGTCACCATTTCC